TAAGTGACTTGAATCGTGATTGCTGAATCGAAGTTGCACGTCAAAGTCTGTCCGTGCAACAGACAGACCTTTGTGGATCATTTCTGTTATACTAGGGGAGCTGAAGGGTAGACTATAAGTCAAACAGAGAGTACTTTCACCTAACTCTAGCGAAGTTTCTGTCGACTTGACTTTTTTTTCTTTCAGCATTGCCCTACAACTCGGTTTGGTTTGCCCGTGCAAACCTAGATGGCTTCTAAAGCATCACACAAATCCTCATATGCGCAAGTGGTACCTGGACTTATATTACCTAGGAAAGGTTAAACATGTTCTCTTAATGAAGCTGCCAAGGACAGACATAGCTGTCGAGCCCTGTCTAAGTTGGGTCTCTACTGTTAGGCAGAAAGTGAACCAGTTCACATGTACACTGTTTAACTCAAAATTTAAGCGGCTTATTATCCTTTTCAAGTGAATGATTCACTATGAAATCAGAAAAGCAAAAATACAAACTTTTAAAAGGACTACAGTTATGCTTCTTATTGTATTTTATTTACGAATGGCAGCATAAATACATAAATACATTACACTTAAATCTGCACAAAGTAAACAAATTCCTTAACATGAAAACATTCAGTTTTCACCACTTTTACGTCACTTCAGTTTTCAAAACATACAGTTGCAAAAATTATCAAGTAAAATTTGCGTACCTATGAAACTTTGCACTTTGTCTGCTCCAGAAAAAAAGCAAATGCCATTAGATGAAGAAGACATGTTTCTCTTTTTTAGATAATAAAGTTTCACACAAAATTATTTTAAAAGTGTGGTGTAGTGTAATCAATTTTTTAAAACTGTGACTATAGAAAAAAAAGGCGGAATTTTAATATAAAGGATTTTTATGCCCCCGTATCGAAGATTCGAGGGAATATAGTTTTTGCCCTGTCCGTCCGTCTGTATGTCTGTTTGTCCTCAAAAACTTTAACATTGCCCATATTTTTTGATTGGTTGGAGCTATGACTTTCATATTTCACATGTGTATTACTTGTGACAAGACATGTTTTGGGTACCATCATATTTTACTTTTTGACCTTGACCTTGGAGTTTTGCAAAATTTTACCGAACTTTAACCTTGGCCATCACTTTTGAACCATTGGCGCTAGGATTTTCATACTTCACCTATGTTATACTTGTGACAAGACCTTCCTTTGGATACCAACAACTTTGACCATCTGACCTTGACCAAGGAGTTTGACCTACTTTTGAAAAACTTTAACCTTTTTCCAAAACTTTTGAACGGTTGGTGCTAGGACTTTCATACTTTAAATATGTAATCCTTGTGACAAGACCTTTCTTTGGAGACCAACAACTTTTGAACGATTGGTGCTAGGGCTTTCATATTTCAGATGATTGTGTTTTTCTTGTGAGAAGACCTTTCCTTGGGCACTATTAATTTTGATCTTGACCTTGATATTTGACTTACCTTTGAAAAACTTTAACCTTTTCCATATCTATTCAATGGTTGCTGCTAGAGCTTTCATATTTCACAGGTATATTCCTCGAGACAAGACCTTACTTTGGGTACCAACATATTTGATTTCATATTTCAAGTGTGTATTCCTTGTAACAAAACCTTTTCTTGGGTACCATCATATTTGACATTTTGACCTTAACCTTGGAGTTTGACCCAGTTTTGCAAAGTTTTACCTAACTTCAACTATGGCCATAACTTTTGAACAGTTGGTGCTAGGACTTTTATACTTCACATGTGTAATTCTTGTGACAAGGCCTTCCTTTGGATACCAACAACTTTGAGTTTTTGACCTTGGAGTTTGACCTACTTTTGAAAAACTTTCATCTTGGCCATAACTTTTGAACGGTTGGTGCTAGGACTTTCAAATTTCACAGGTATATTTCTTGTGACAAGACCTTCGTTTGGATACCAACAACTTTGATTTTTTTACCTTGACCTTGGAGTTTGACCTACTTTTGAAAAACTTTCACCTTGGCCACAACTTTTGTACAGTTGGTGCTTGGGCTTTCATACTTCACATATGTAATCCATATGACAAGATTTTCCTTCGGATACAAAAACCTTGGACCCTTTGACCTTCGAGTTTGACTTACTTTTGGAAAACTTTACCCTTGGCCACAACTTTTCAACAATTGGTGCTAGACTTTCATACTTCACATATGTAATCCTTGTAACAAGACCTTACTTTGGATACCAACAACTTTGACCCTTTGATATTGACCTTGGAGTTTGACCTACTTTTGAAAAACTTTAACCTTGGCCATAACTTTTGAACGATTGGTGCTGGGGCTTTCATATTTTACATCTGTGAAGAAGCCCTTTGTGAGAAGGCCTTTCCTTGGACACCATTTATTATGACCTTGACCTTAATGTTTGATTTACTTTTGAAAAACGTTAACCTTTTCCATATCTTTTCAATGGTTGCTGCTAGAACTTTCATATTTCACAGGTATATTCCTCAAGGGACAAAACCTTAATATAGGTACCAACATATTTGATTTGCATTTGAGAAAGTTTAACCTTTGCCATATGGGGGCATCAGTGTTTTACAAACACATCTTGTTTCCCTTTGAAAAACTACTCGATTCAAATATTCACAAAATAGTTTATTGAACCCATCAACAATATAAATTTAAGAATTTTCTCACACACTTTGAAAGAAGTGCCGATCCAAAGAAAAAATACTGTGCTAGTAGAGGGCAAACAAATTAAATCTCTAAAGATGGCAAAGACTTGGTTGAGACAGAGAAACGGCACTGATTTTTCAAAAAAAATATTGAGGGGGGGGGGGGGTTAACAAGCAAGTCAATATTTGTACAGTTGTGTATTCATTTCTACAAATATTACCTGGCTTGTTAACATGGGCTTTTAACGCCCCCTTTTCAGATTTTTTCCAAGTTGTACAAAGTTTTTGGTCTACATTTCATATGCCAAATATGCCATGATTATTTTCACTAGTCATAATAGGTCAGATGACACACCTTTTGTCTCAGGGGCAAATTTTGTGATTTGGCAATTTGTAGTAATACTCTGTTTGTACTTTTATATGTATGTAACCTTTTCTTATATTAGAATTTTAGATTGTGTTTTTTTTACTGTCATTTATTATCTATTGTAATAAATGACCTATTTTGTTCTTTTAAGGGTGTTATTGTTTTTATTAAGGATGACGTTTACTCAGGTTTCAGAAGACAGAAGGGAAATTTTATAAAGTACAATATGTTAAATCAAAAATTGTTCTAAATGGATAAAATAACCAAGTTTTAACTCAATATCAATTTAAAAATTTAATATTTTATTATTTGAAGAAAATATGCAAGAACAAAAGTCAATATATGGTAATGCAGAGGAAATTCGGACTAAATTTTTCATTTTTCATTTTTGTCACAAAATTATATTTCTTGCAATATCAATTACAAAGTAAAGGTTACATGTATTTTTAAACATCATTTTGCAAATATTATGTATGTTAAAGCTCTTGAATTATTTCAAATAATTGAATGCCATGAAATAAAGAAGATCAAAAATATGAACAATAACCATTCCAGACAACATATCTTAATAATTTGATCACTGACTTCATTTAATTTTAATACCATTAGAATAAGGGCAACAAAAGTAAACTGAGGCTATAAATAATTTAGAGTTTTTATCATTCAGATTTTTGTAATATTAGATTAAAAATGGTGAAAAAAAATAGAAATCTGACAGAGGAAATTCGGACTGTGATAATTAATAAGTTTATGGCCTAAACTCTAATCGTTTATTTATATGAAGTAACGCTGTTCCATTGCTATTATATTTCATTATTTAAAGAGTTTTGTTGCTTGTAATATTTTATGAGTAAAGAAAAAACTGGTCATAGTGTGAAAAATTGAGGTATTTTCCGAGAAATACTCAGGGGCCACTAGCATGAAAAGAAGGTCATTGACCTAGTTATTTGAAATTGAAATTTAACACAAGAATCCTAGGTGTACAATGTGCAATAGGTGGTTTTTCGTTCTTATCAGTGGAATATTTTGTCATCTGAGTAAACGTCATCCTTAAGTGGAGGCAGACAGGTTCAAAAAATACCGAAAGACAAATTCCTTTTTTTCTGTCTTAACATTAATTGATAGACTAATCATACTAAGTATATGTCAGAAAATATAAGTAACCATAACAGTTATTTTATGACAAGATTTTCGTTACATTGTAAATTGATTTATTCAAAGTTACTACGTGATGTAAAGAATATGAACTACGTATTTTATACCTTGCATCATTCATATGTTTTTATGCTTCCGTAATAGAAGATTCGGGGGTATATAGTTTTTGCCCTTCCGTCCTTTGTCCCACTTTTGCAACAATTTACCCAACTTTTAACCTTAGCCATAACTTTTGAACAGTTGATGCTAGAGCTTTCATATTTCACATTTGTATTTATCGTGATAAAACCTTTCCATGAGTATAAATATTTTTTTACCTTTTGACCTTGACCTTAGAGTTTGACTCATTTTTTTTAAAAACTTAACTTTTGAACAGTTAGTACTAGGGCTTTCAAATTTCACGGGTATATTTCTTATGACAAGACCTTCCTTTGGATACCAACAACTTTGACTTTTTGACCTTGAACTTGGAGTTTGACCTACTTTTGAAAAACTTTAACCTTCGACATAACTTTTGAACAGTTAGTGCTTGAGTTTTTATATCTTGCATGTGTATTTCTTATGACAAGGTCTTCCCCTGCGAACCACTAATTTTTACCTTCACCTTTGAGTCTGGCCCACTTTTAGAAAACATTAACCTTGACCATAACTTTTGAATGATTGGTGCTTGGGTTTTCATATTTAGGAGGTATATCCATTGACACAAGTCCTTTTTTTGGGTAACAATATTTTCGATCTCTTGACCTTAGAGTTTGACTTGCATTTGAGAAACTTTAACCTTTGCAATGAGCTGCCATACGGGAGCATCAATGTTTCACAAAAACATCTCTTTTTTAATTTCAGAAATGAAAGCACAGAGAATTCTGACACGCTTCATCTTGGTTCTGTTGATGCTATTAGGTAACTAAAATAATTTCAGAAAAAAATTACTGGTCACATTTGTTAGCATCTGTTTAACCTGTAAAGGTAATCGATCAGAATTTTATTCGAAAAGTACATTAATTCTTAAACTCTTCTCTTTTTCTTCAGGATCGTCTTCAGATGTTCACGCGCAAGGTAATTATGGAATTTCTATAGAAAAGCAACTAAATGTTCACTTTATACCTATATAACGAAAGAGATATCATGTCAAAGTTTAATATTTAAACCTCATACCAAATAACTTTCATTTTTACATATAAAAAAATCCCTTCCTATCAACCTTATGTTTTGAAAGTAACTGGAACCACACATATTCTTATTTACTTACCTTATCTCCGCAAAGTTTGAAAGATTTTTTTCATCATATTCTATATCTAATGATGAATTTATGGATGAACTAAATGAGTGGAATTATATATTTTTATTCATAAATTGGATTTGCTGATGTGGTTTCAATTAACTACTCTGTTATACTTTTTATATGTCTCTGCTAATATTTATAATTATTGTTTCTTAATTATAATCCCATGTGAGAAAATTTGTCCATTTTTTTTTATGAATATGAATAAATCCCACATTTTAATTCAAGTGAGTTGTTTTCATTCCCCCTTGACTCGAGTCAAATTACTAAAAATATTTATCTTTTGGATATCTCTAATATTTGTTTGATTATTTAATTAGCCTTGTTTATGAAGTAACTTAATTTATCATTAATATGGCTTTGCGAATAATGCGTTAGTTATCCTCAATAATTTTTTGATAGCTGATTCATATCAAAAACCTCATGTTTTATTTCTTTACCGCGTATTAACTTCCTGTTTGTAGGAGGAGGGAATTGTATGGCGGATACAGACTGTAACTCTGCTGCAAGCGGAGGATTCTGTAACCTTGGACCCAACTCCTGTATATGTATTAATGGATTCACAGGAGCAAACTGTCAGACAGGTGTGGCCTCTTAGATATAAACTAAACTTAAAAAATGATTAGTTCTTCAATGTCAACGTATAATTATTCATAATCAGTCATTCTGCAAAAATCTGACCAGATAATTTTTTTCATCTTAACAAATATACATTATGTTTCGCTGTAACATCAAAATAACATTAATTTGAAAGATTTCAACTCTAAAACTCGACATGCATACGTGGTCTCTTATAGGTATATTAATCATAAATATGCTGTCTGAGTAAAAAAAATGAAAATAATGTAATGTAGAGAAAAAAAACATATAAGCGTACAGAATTAATTGCATGACATATTAAATAAAAGTTTTATATATATATATATATATATATATATATATATATATATATATATATATATATATATATATATATATATATATATATATATATATATATATATATATAAAGAGAACAAACAAGCATGGATTCTCTATCATGCGAAATTATATCATGTCGCAGAAATAAATTAACTTCCGTAACTTTTTTTTTTGTTTCAAACTGCACACAAACCATGCAGGTCTGACGGTGAACTGGAACATACCTAAAAGGGACCATGGAACCTAATGTGATCGATTCTAGTTAAAAAAAATGGTTGTCTCACTTAAGGATATCCGATCCTCAGCCAGGAAAGATAACTCTTAAATTTATCATTTTATTTAAAAAGTCTCAAAATGAAGCTTGAAATTGAGGTCTTTTCGTGCAACAATTTTCATTTTATGCATCTCAATATGATTCAAGGTTCTTTAAAGTCTTAGAAACGCTCCTGTAAAAAGTTGACATTTGTACCCCATAAAAGAAAAAATTAATTCATTTTTAGAGAAATCGAATTTTCTTTAATCTAGTATTAGATACAAATGCTTATTAGCATGATATGAATTAGAAGTGATATGTTATGTCCAGCAAGGATAGCACTAAGCTTTTTACACTATGTATTACATAAAAAATACTGTAAAAGCATAAAAAAGATGCAATATTCTCCAAATGCCTGGATATCTATATTTTTTAATCCTAAAATATATTTGTTGAGCAATTTTCAATTAGCAAATGCATAGCTGTTGTTTTTATTCTCATTTCCTGAAAATATAATTGAGATTTGATAATTTTCCCTATATAATATGATAAACTATAATGAAGAACTTTGAAGAAATACCATGGGTAAATTCACGTTACACTGTGAAATCAGAGCATTTTCAATTACTTTTAAAAAGCTGATTTTCAGAACCTGAGGATTGGTCTACCTTAAGAGCCCTCTATCCTCTGTATATTATACACTGCACACTAAAGAGTTCTTATTTGGAATTTTTATGCCAATAGAGTAAGCTGCCCTTTGATCAAGAATAAATTAAAGTGAAATGTACAGTTTATTACTCAATTTGTAATCAAATCAAGCATTCATAACACTTTAATAGGCCAAGACGAATATATTAAACACTTCATTTGCAGACATTTTGCCCATATAAGTAACAGTGATTTCTGTTCATCTTTGAACAATTTTCCTGTGGGTAAATGCAAGGTACCCTATGTTAAAAATTTGATAGATAAGCTCAATATTTACACTTTTTTATAATATAATTTCCGATGTCCAAAATTCTTTTCCTCTAGGGTATAGAGGGTCCTTAAGAATTTAACTACCATAGAAAGATAATCCATGTTTTTTTTTCATTAAAGTGAAAACAGTTCCGAAATTTTATACTTTGATTGACATCTTAAAACAAGAGTTATGTCCATTGCCGAGAATCATTACTTTCATGGCTGAAAATTAACTTCTGCAACGATTTCCCCCAAAATTTGAATCCAATATATATCAGATTCGTGATGGACTTCAAAAATCGTGTTTCACCGCGGGTATATTTAAATTGTTGTAAAATGCTAACTATACAAGATTTTTGGATATTTTTTTTTATTTTGCCATGTCCTTTAGAGAATTGTATTGTCCAACTGGCTATTTGAAGCTTTTAATTTTTTTCATGTTAAATACCCTCAAATTGCCTGAATTGGTATTTCTTCGTAGAATGACTTATAATAATTAAGCAAGTGTAGGTGTTTTATACAGATATGTCGGAGGTAATCATGGTAATTAAGGATACAGCTAAAGGACTTGTTAGGGAGAAATATTTTTACTTTCAATTTTAAAGCAGTTTTGCATGACTTTACGTATAATCAGTGCATCCTTTTCAGCCCCAACCTCTCCTTCTGGTAACGGATCCGGAAGTTCCTTAGCCATGTTAACCAGTAACAACGCTGTCCTATTGCTGACCCTTGGTGCATTTTTCTTTATTTTTCTTAAAAAGGAACGGTCACGTGAAGAAGAGAATCAAATTTTGGATTACGCCCTCTACAGGGAATATCTGCATCACTCCTAAAAACAAGGTCAACAATCTCTTTCCACATCAAGAAAATAAATCAGTACACGCGAGAATTTTATCGCAGTCTAGTTTTACGTTCTACTAAATCGGTATGGAATTAAAAAAAAGACATTGAGAGTATGATTCTGTTAAAAATCATATCAGTGTGATATATAATGCGTCCTCCTGACTGACTAAATGGAGAGCATTTAGTGACATTATACGTGTACCATGAAAAATACTATATGTCTGACATTTAAAAGCAAGGTTTTCATTATAACTTTATATTATTTTCCCAAATTTTGCCATTTAACCATATACTTTATTTGTTCATCACTTCTTGTTATGCCTCAGGTATTTAAATAAATATTTTTAAAACAATTGTTTACTCTAAATTCAATAGTAATGGTTAGTAATGGTTGCTTACTAGTATTTTCAAACCAATGACATTTTATTTTGCTCCGACCACTTTCTTTATGTGTATCTGTACTCGAATGAGTGGACAAAATCAAACACAATACGTGGTACTGTGAGTACACACTCTTATCATAGACCTAAAACTTTAGGTCTATGCTCTTATTCAGTGAATTTCAATGTAAAGGCTTTTGATAACATGTTAAACAGTTCGTTTATTTAGGGTGAAAAATTCTTAACTAATGTTTTGAATTACTCTTTCTTTATATAATTTAGTTTGGATCGAACATAAAAGGGGATCTTTTATCTTTTATTTTTGCTCACCTGGGCTGAACGCTTAAGTGAGCTTTTCTGATCACATTTTCCTGTCGTCAGTTTGTCTGTAAACTAATCACATTTTCGATTTCTTCTCGAGAACCACGGGGCCAATTTCAACAAACTTGCCACAAAGCATTCTTGGGGAAAAGGAATTAAATTATTTTTATCAAATGAAGAACCACACCCTCTTTCAAGGGGAGATAATTAAAAATTAGTGAAAATTTAATGGCATCATCTGAAAATCTTCTACTCAAGAACCACTTGGCTAGATAGGATGAAACTTAAGCAAAAGCTTCATTACATAGTGTAAAATCAAGTTTGTTCAAATCATGACCCCCGGAATAGGGTGGGGTCACAATGGGTGATCAAAGTTATATATATGAATATATAGGAATGTAAAATTACGAACCGTGATCTTTAAACATGAAGTGCGATACAAACTTTAAAGTGCTTGCTATATAAAAACTTTAGACAATATACGAATTTGTGTTGAACACTGAATATATAACAGTTACAAATCATGAAAGGACAATGACATTACAAACAGAATTAAAATAGAATTAAAATTTTAATACATATGCTTAGTGTCCATTACCTAATGTTGGCCTTTTTTTCAAGGCCATTTCATCGTTTCTGGATACATATTCATGATGTGAAAAGGCCGCACACACACTAAGATTTGTATTAAAATGCAATTATTTCAATATTTTTGAAGTATAATACTTTTTTGTCCACGCGCTGATATAAATTTTATAAGATTGTAAATAAAAGCATGTACTGTTTTCCCTCAATATTTCTATTATTTTAAACAATTTCAGTAGTGTTTAAACCAATCTTTGTTATAGTTCCTTCATTTTATTTTTAGTTCTCTTCCTTAATAGCACAGACATTTTTGCATTTATCAGAGAAGCTTAAATAAGAGGAAGAAGTTTATGGCATTGTTATATATGATAGTCTTCGTAATCATGGGAATCCATTATTTGTAAATTGTTTAATTAAAATGTTTTGAGTCAAAACAACAGATAATACAAGTATAAATAAAAACAGTATGATTGGGTAAGATTTGTATTATATGGAATTCCATATACGACAGCCAACTGCTCACTGCTTACTGCCAACTGCTCACTGCCACCTGCTCACCGCTTACTGCCACTGCTTACAGATGATATTGTCCGGCTATTTTGTTATCTTAATATCTTTAATACGCATGCTTGAATGAATCCTACAAATCCTATGATAGCAAGAAAAGAACGACGACGATAGTATTGTTCTGCCAACAACCTCCAAGTCAATTTTCAAAAGTTGACGTATTTGAATGATTTTTCATTTACTTAGTATGTGAATTTTTCATAAAACTTAAAATTGTTTTGGAAAACAAAGAGAGATAAGTTTTTAATTTGGTAAAATTTTTCACCAAAGAAATCAACGGAAAATGGAAATTTATTATCAAAACATCTCCGCCCCCTTGAAACACCAATTCCATTTTACAGGTACAATGAATTGTTATTTCACAAATTCATACCAAAGGTTTTGTTGTTTCACGGGGGGGGGGGTATGTTTACAGTCTAAAAACAGGAAAACAGGCATTTTATTACCAATTTCAAATGAGATAACAAGTTAAAAAATGTACTTTATCAATGTTGAATTTTACATAAGTTAAACATACGGAGAAATTTAAGAGTCATTTTCCATTTCCATGAGTGTTTGAAAATCCTGGGATGTTTTAAAAATCCTGTTTTCAATTGATAAAAGTTTCTACCCCCTTATGAAAGTAGTTGTAAAAAAAGCAATTAACTTTATGACACTGGTTTTTAAAATTATTAATCCATTACTAATGAACTTTTCTTTGCAGTCAAACAAATTTTAATGACCAAATTGCCATTTATATTCAATTTAATGGATGTAAAATGTAGGTGGGAATCAAGAGTACATATATAGGGTGAATTCACCATGCATCGGACACCCTCGCACTTCAACAAGTTCTAGCGATATCGCTACCGACCGAATATTATCAAAATGTAACTTAACATGTAGTTTGTGGTTAAAATATAAATTTTTGACACAATCGTATGCTCTTTATTGAGAAAATATCATTAAAACCCGATTTTTTCGAAATAAGTCCGAATTCACCCTGGATCGGACAAATTCACCATGCATCGGACAGACGGTATTGAAACCAGAAAAATATTACACCTTGATCTCGGTGCTTTAAAATTAGTGATATTGAAACATTTTTATCTTTTATTAAAAAATTAAACTTCTAGTTAAATTTGAATGACTATTTCGATCCATAAATGTGAAGAGATTTTAGGTGCATCACATTGCCTTAGAAAGGCTTTACAATGCTAGTAATATGGCAACTCGTGCCTTTGTTTCGTGGGTTATCATTATCTAGTTTAAAGAAATAAATTGAGTCCATTTCTAGTCGTCATATATCGATATCTTGTATTTTCACTTAAGATTTAGAGTTTTTATCTTCTATTTCCGTAAAAAAACAGCTGTCACTTGGGTTTTATATTAAAATGGAAGTGATTACCCATGCATCGGAAAGTGTCCGATGCATGGGTTAATTTGTGTCCGATGTACGGAGACGTAAACATACTAGTTAAAAACAAATCTAAAAACAATTATACAAACATTGAAGTAAAATTTTCGAAAAAATTCTGTAAAATTATCAATCATTGACAAATTTTACCTAGGTCCGACCCGTTCCGTTGAAGTCTAATTATAAGAGCGACAACTCTAAAAATTGCAAAATCGTAAAATTCTGGTTACTCCCCTTTGATGATGCAAAATATGACGTAATTTCAAGGCCATTCTTGTGGTATTTTTATCCAGAGTCTCTGTTTTATCACAACATGGAAATAAAAATCGGCATCATTAAAAAGTTTAAATCTTCACCTTTAAGACAGAAACAAGTAAAACCACGGGGAGACTCAGGTTCAATGAAAGTTTATTGCTTAAAGTTGTCCGAAGCAAGGTATGTGTCCGATGCATGGTTAATTCACCCTATACGTACTATCTATTCCCGCCTTTATTTTACATCCATTTAATTCAGTATAAATGGCAGGATAAAGCTCTGTCATTCAGTTAACTGAAAGGTAACTGAATGGCAAAATTCTGCCATTCATTGACCTTTCCAGACTTTTCAGTCACCATTTCATTGACTGAAAGGTGTAGGTTCATCCTGTGAGTTAGCGTGCATAGTTCTTACAATAATAAAAATTGGAGCATTTAGGAATTTTTAAACTGCATGTGAAAGCGAGGAAGGAGTGAATCGGAAGAAGGAGTAAATTGCCTACATATGAAATACTACGATGGCCGATAGCGGCCGCCACTTTCTGATTAAGAATATTGTCATTTTGTACAGCGTTTTTGTCAATTTTCGTTGACATATTACAACTAAACTGGTAATGCTATATGTACATGTACACTTTTTACACTGACAATTTACACCAGCGAAAAACATTAAAATTCTTTCGTGTGATATGAAATTAAGATACATAAAACAGGAGGCTTGAAAGAGATAAGGAGCATTTTAATGATTTTCACCCTCAATTAGTCTGAGATATCGTAACCCTAGATTAGACGTAAATCGTAATCCTAGATTAGACGTAAATCGTCATTTTGTCACCTTGTTGTATCATTTAAACGATATTCTTGGGATTGTAATTAAAAAGGCGAATAAAAGTAATACGTTTGTTGTAATGGATATACATGAATATAATGGATATATCTCGATCATCAGATTGTATGAGACAACTCGATTCTACCTATTATGTAGAGGTAGAAAAATAGGATTTAGTAGCTTTACATGTGAGCATCCAATCAAAAGTTTATGGAATGTATCAAAAACAAAACTTTAGATACGGAAATATACCCGTTTTTAATTAAGCAAGAATAAAATGACAACCTTAAATGTGGGAGTCTGTATTTGCTCTCTAAATACATAAAATTAATAACTAAATGCTTGAAACACTTTTAAAGGCCAACGCAACCTCTCAAGACTTGCACCTGGTCGGCCAATTATTTTTCAATGTGGCACGGGAATGAAAATTTAGGGACATGTAAAACCCCTGTCACACCGGGACTGCGTCCTCACGGCGATCGCACGGCGTCCATAAAAAATGCAAAACGCCGAGGTGAGCGCAGTAGAGTCTCCTACAGCGCCGTGACAACGCGGCGAGATCTCCACTGAACGCCGTAGGGTCGCGTAGGGTCTCCTAGAACGCCAGGGGACGGCGCGCACTTTGGGCATGCACAAAGTACGCGCCGTGTGATCGCCGTCTGATAAGAACGCA